AAAAAGGTGATGCATAGAATCTACCTGATTTAAATGTCCATAAAATTTCCACAGTATATTAAAACACAATTAGGTTTGGGCACCCTTGGTCAAATTAAGTGAAAATAAGTACATACCCTCTACACAGAACACACATTTTAATGCAAAGTTACTGTTTATTTGCTGAATTTAACACATTGGGGGGAAAAAAATGGCTTGTGCGAAAGTTTTAGCACCTTTTACTATTTTATTTTATTTTTCCAAATCAGTGGAAATTGTGCACTAATATTTGCAGAAAATGCCATCTTTAAGTGTGTTCTCTGTAGAGGAGTACCAATTTTTAACACAAACAGAGGATGTTCAAACTTTTCCATACAACTGTATATTTAATTTTTGAAGGTACCAATTTAACTCAAGTATATTTAATACATCACTTCTTTCGGTGTAGAAACATTATTGAAAAAACAAACCCTGCACTGCCTTCTTCACTGGCTAACACTCTCATTCTAAGAGCCTTCTCAGTGGCTTCAATGGCTATATTGCCTTTAGCCTGTAGAGCTTTACAGATGTGGGTAAAAAGCTGGGATTGTAACGAGGAATTTACCTGCTGCCTACTCGTCGGCCAGGACACTCTTGAAAACGAGATGAGCTCATCTCAAGAGGAACTCCTGGTTGAATAACTTTTAGATAAAGATAGATACATCAATTGTGGAACATGTCATTCTGGTCAATGCATGGCAAATTTTGGCTTTTGTCAAATTCTTTTGCTTAGGACGAAACAAGCATTCGCAGTCCAAAAGAACAGTGTACGAGCACCCATCATGACACGGTCTGTCTTTTTCCCTCGTATGAGACAAAACCCCTCTGTTTTCGTTAGACTCATCCAAATCACTTCTGTCAGAGGAAGTGTTTTGCAAGAGCTGGTGATTTCTTGTCTTTTTTTTAGGTTTATATTTATAATTAGAGAATTTAGCAACAAGGATGTACTTAAAAAGCAAATGTGCATCATGACTGTTCATTTTTGGCACATTTTATGGTGGCTGGTTTTAAAAGCAGATTTAGGCATTACCACAGATAAATGCCACAGTTTCATCAGCAGTCTGACAGACTACAACGTTTTATGGATTAGTTCGATTTGATTGGCTGAATCTTACCAGTGCTTATCAGTTATTGATTACTTGTGACTTGGATGTCACAGCGGGGCGAAGCAAGTCAATATTAACATGCCTGGATTTGGCAAACAAACATACAAAACAAAAGTAATAAAAATTAAAACTCAAAAATAAAACATAACAGTAAAAATTAGATATTGTTTGAAAACAAAAGGTTACAGCAGTCATTTCAGTTCGTTAGGAACAGATTTTAGTAAAACCTTCAAAATAACCTTCTGGAGAACTTAATGGGGGAAAAAGTTGCTTATAATCAAGCAGCTTTGCATGCATTTATGTCACTGTAAAGTTTGTAAATGCATGCTATGTTAGTGACATTCACATTCTGCTCATATGCTTAGAAGAAAAAATGGTATACTTAGAAAAATGGTTTACTTCGCATTGACTGCTCACAGTCAATTGGCTTATCATCAGCATTTGTCTTATTAGCTGCAAAATCAAAGAGTGTCATAAATGTTGTGTTATACGAGGAAACTATGAGTGCATTCTTTAAACCATTCTTGCTGAAATTTGGACATGGTTAAAATGTAAGGAATAAGAAAAGATTTATTTAAACAAAATGTTAGTTATGTTATTAAGATTTATGTTAAGATTTATGTATGTCCAATAAGAAGACACTATTCAGTCCATGCAATATTTTATAGTTACTGTCTCATTTATTTTTTTCAAAATATGCATCATTAAAATGTAAAAAAGTCAGTGCTGACCTGAATAAGTATTGCTTAAAACCACTAGATGACAAACTTCAAGCTGACGCCCCATGAATGTTTAAAGTGTACAATTTACAATAAAATCACTAGAACACCAGAGATTTTACTGTGTAAATGTCCATATTTGAATTCAGTGCAATTCAAATTCGTGACACTGCATCACACGGAGTCTGGGCAACACCAGGGTTTATATTATGAAGCTGAATTTGTATTTTAGCATGTTAACTTGCTAATGGGCTCAATTTAAGGTACAGTTATGTTGAAATAAACTCAAAGCAAACCTAAACTGAACAGGTTTACCATCCCACAAGTGTTTAAACTTAGCACGTTTAAAACCCAGAACTCAGCTTCATAGTGTACCCACCTGGACCCAGACAGTGCATTGACATGAATCAAAATGACTGGAATGTAAGAAGTTTTTTTGTTTGTTTGTTTGTTTGTATTTTTCTGCATCCCTTATTTAAAGATTCAATGATTTCAGTGTGAAATTCCATTAACAACGCATGTAAAGAGCTTCCCATTTAAATTGGAATGGATACAAGAGGCACAAACAAGGTTTTGGGAATAATACATAGAGTAAACATTATGTATTGTTTATGAGTGTCAAAGATGCATGAAAAAACATGCTGTATATAGATGGTAAGATGTGTATAATTTGTATAGCAGCCTTGGACCAATAATTTACTGCATGTCAGTGGCAGCTGGTGAAAATCTTTCTAAGTTGGGCAGTTTACTTATCATCCATCACACCATTCAACATTAATGTAATTGAAGATGAACATATATGTTTTGTGGCACAGTATTTAACTTAACCCATGGTGAAAAAGTGCCTTGTTTAAAGATGAATCTCACTGATTTTTCAAAATATTCTGCATAATTCACATCAAGATGTAAACAAAGATAGAGTGGTTTGACATGAAATGCTTCATTGCCAAGAAACTTACCACCTCTGAATTCTTTACAATGGCATATATGTATGTATGTATAAATGGTAACTTTAAAGGAGAAGGAAAACATACTTCACTTTCAATGTAAGTCAGTGGAACCAGACTTTTTCCAATTTTGGGCCGTTTCTTTTGGTCCATTTCTCATGAAATTTACACACAATGTAAAGGGCAACAGTATATGTATTAGATCAGAAATCTCTAAATTTGTCAAGAGAAACAACAATGTCTCAGTATCAGCCAGTACATGTATAATCTTTTCTTTTATAATCATGTAAGTAATAACTTTCTGTGAGGGAGTTTTTAGAGGCACTAAACACTTTAGATGTCTGGTTCCTATCACCAAGTAGCTTTTCACATCAAACTACTCTAAATGACTTTGTGTACATTTTAACCATTTAATTATGCAGAAATTTTGAAAAATTAATGGAATTCCTCTTGGTCTGTGTACATCTACACTCTGTTATAAGTTTGTAGACACCACTAATAATTTGTTGATTCAGCTTTAAGGAGCACCCACTGTTGAAACAGGAGCAGCCGTCCATGAGCTTAAGGTCACCATGTCCAAAGGCAAGTGTTAGCTAAAGCAAACTTCTTATTAAGACCCTTGACTTCAGAAGAAACTTTGGGAAACTTATCTCTGTATGAGAAGGTGTCTACAAACTTCTGGACATGTAGTTGGAAATATTTTGATATTTATATCAATATTTGATATTTATATATTAATATATAAATATCAAATATTTGATATTTGATATTTATATATTAAGTATACAGTTTCAATCCCACAGCTTCAGAAACACTTTTCTTGCATAAAACAACTTAAACATGGTTATTACTAAAGTACACCAGTTACTCCCTGGATTATTCAATATTTATGAAAATCAGCAACTATGGCATAAACTATTTACACACTAATACATCATGGTTTACTGGTTTACTGTCATACTGACAGAAACTCCTACCAGCTTGAAGCTCTAGATAGTCTGGATAGATAACTCACACATAAATCATATGATATGAAACATCATTGAGCCAAGGATTAGTTCATTTTCCATCGTAAAGATCTACAAGTTTTATTTATTTATTTGTCTGTTTGTTTGTAGATTCTTCTTTTCCTGTCAGGGAGGTGTTGCCCCAGAACCTGTCTGCACCAGCTGCCACTGCTGCAAGTACTTTTTGTTCTTCAGAATATCTGGTTTAAAATGTTCAGTCTCCTGAACTTTAATGTGAAGGCAAAATGTTTTTCATGTGTTTCTGATCAGATTGTTAAAGTTTCTTGAACTTTCTAGGCATAAACAACCTCGTATTCCTACGACTGATTAGCATTAGCATTATTAGCGGGAAATCAAACAAGTTAATAAATATAAACAACCAATAAATAAAAAGTTATCACCACAATGCAATAACAATACTCTCAACACAAAGCAACATAAGAAAAGAAAAAAAAAGATAAAATAAATTCTACATAATGAAAATGGCACATTTGGTATTGTGTAAGACTCTGCAAATAAATAAATGAACAAATAAATAAACAAACAAGCAAATATATAAAGAAAAAAGTAGGTTAAAAACAAAAACATCAGTCTGTGGTATGACACCCCCTCTTTTTAAAGCATTTTTTTCTGGAACACTAAGTAACTAAGTAAATACATTAATGTCTGAATAACCCTTTAGAGGCCTTTTACTTCACATTGTTAGTGCTTCAATGAGGTCACCATCATTATGGCTGAGGTGAGAGGGGGCGGGGTGTGCTCATACCCAGGTGTGCAGAATTGGGGGGTGGGAGGAGGGGGAATTTTTGAGGCTCATGCAGGTGAGAATTTGCCTCAGTCTGCTTGCCACGAGTCCAGTTGGGCTGGACTGGACAAAAAACAGCATAACAACCAGACCATGACCACAACAGCCACATGCACTGCCTCCCACAGACAGGCTGTTAATCTGCAGCTAGCATTTTACAGTTACTGTACATACACTGTACGGCACTTTGACGCTGGTTAACTTCTTTAATCTGTAGAAGACATTAGGGAAATAGACAGGAAGAAATAGAGAGGCATCGTAGCATACACAGGAGTCATGCAGCATGATGGCAGACAAGTGTGATGAAGGAATAGACACACAGGACGCTCTGGACAAACACACGGCACAGGCCGGCCCGGGAGAGACAGAGAAAGGGTAAAATGTGTGTCAGGTCTTACCGATGCGGTCCAGGCGGTCAATAGCCACCGTCTCAAAAGCGCGGCGCATCATGGGGTATTCCTCCAGGACCTCGTTGAAGTGGTCAACAGACAGAGAGAAGAGGCGACAGTACGTGTCGGCGCGGACGCTAGCTGTGCGCCGTCCTTTCGTTAGCAGACAGATCTCTGTGGGGAACAAGAAGAGGGGATGGAAATGAGTGTGATACTACAAAAATACATTTTTCCCATTAGCCCAAATGTAGTAGGTCATATTTTTCCATTAGAGCTATGAAGCTAACAGCTAACAAAAATTTACTTCATAAATTAGCACTGCACAAACTGCATGTCTAAATCATCACAGACTTGCCTCAAACTGCATAGACATGTTAAAGGGATATTTCACAAAATTTCAAAATTTTTGCATATTTCAGTCCTTGAGATGTCATTCAGAGTGGTCAAATGGTTTATTTTAGAGAAGCGTCCTGACTCAGATTTCTGGGCTGGAGGTTAGGGAACCAGCCTTGTGACCAGAAGATCGCTGGTTCGCTCCCCTGAGCCGACAGTACGTGACTGAAGTGCCCTTGAGTAAGCCACCTAACACCCAACTGCTCCCTGGCCGCTGTGGATGGGGCAAGTGTGCTCACTGCCCCCTTGTGTGTGTGTTTCCACTAGTGTGTATGTGGTGTTTCACTGCACAGATGGGTTAAATGTGGAGGTGAAATTTCCCTGTTGTGGGACTAATAAGGGTCACTTAGCTTAACTATACAGTGGTAGCAATAAGATATATACACACAGTTGTATACAGGGGACAACTGTGTATATGTGATTTTTGGCTGAACTATCACTTAAAGGGGAATTCCACCTATTTTTCTAATTTCCTTAATAATTAAATGGATTACATGTAAACAAAGTCATTCGGAGTGGTTTGGTGAATGCTAAAGTTCTTGATAAAGTTACAGACTCCCTGAGTGACAGGGAGTGTCCTTGATAAAGTTACAGACTCCTCAGTGGTGGTGATAGGAACCAGACGTCCACCTCTAAAAGCTCCCTCACAGAAAGACATTGCATGAAATGGTTATAAATACTCAGCCAGATGTCTGGAATATTGTTTAACGAATTTGAGTTTTGAGACAGTTTCCTAATCCATTCATGGTGGAGGGGTACATGCAGGGTGCTGTGTGGCAAAACATTTCCCAAGGAAAACAGATTTTCCACTATTTTACTATCACCGACATTACATACAAAACTCTGAAGGCTCACTGGTGGTTTTGGATGGTAAATAAAATGGCTACATTTGTGCTGTAGACATGACGACCCCTGGTTCCTATCAGTCAGCAAGTTTCACTACAAACGAATCATTTCACACCAAACCACTGTGAATGATTTTGTTTACATGTCAATGACTGAATTATTCTGAAACTTTGAAAAATCTGTGGGGTTCCCCTTAAAACAACATACAGCAGAAATATGGATGCCAGATGAGCACTTGAATGCCAAGTCCCTTTGAACATTTCTCAAAGATCATCCACGGTTACCTTTAGGAAATCAAATACAAAAACCAGACAGCAGGATGAAGAAAGACTAAATATTGCAGGATACAGAAGTGCACAACCCTGGACGTTAGCTAGATTAGTGCTCAAATGAGGCGTCGGTGTGTGGAGAGGTGGGAGCTATAGTGTACATGTAAATAGAGCCTCCGTATCAGGAATGCATATCAGATCCATGCACCGTCTCTTCCACAGCTGCAGTGTCATTTATCATGCTGTCCACAACTTAATGACTCTGAAACCCAAAGGCTGCTGCTGTTGTTGGTTTAACAGCTGCTGTAACGGAACACAATGCAATGGGTTATTTAAAGCAACCACGTTATTTCTTCTGTTGGTTTTTTCAGGTATTCTTATCTTTTTCTAGTCTTTCTCTTAAGACTACTGGCTGTTGATGCATCAGGGACATTACATCCAGGACCACACAAGAGCTTAAAAACACTGACCAAGGACAATTTGTCATAGGTATATCACTACATTTCTGTAGGCTTGATGGTTGGAATTCCTGAAACAACTCAAAGTATTTAAATATCAGAAAACAAACTGGCTGCCAAACATAAACTCAGTCCTTAGAAGTTCAGTTTATTACTGCCATACTTTTAAAATATAATTATGTAATTATGTACTTCATTACATAGCAATTTCCACCATATATTACAATGTGGTAAGCATTATGGTAAGCTTTAGCCAAGAACTTTGTATGTACATGGTATATTAAATCAGTTAAGTAGATTTTTTTAAACCTTTTAAAACATCAGTTGTACAAATTAAGAATATTATTTTAACAGTATTAAAGAATTACATTCAACTCACGAAACAAAGCTAGAATTTTGGTGATAAAATATGCAGTTAAAAAAGAATTCCACCAATTTTTTTAAAAATGTCTGCATAATTCAGCCATTAAGTCATAAACAAAGTCACTTTTAACACTTTGATGTGAAATGCTGCACTGAAGAGAAACTAAATTTCATATTTCTTTACAATGGCGGTGAAAGGAATTTGGGGTCTTGATATCTACAAAGCAAATATATGTCCATTTCATTTACAATCCAAAATGATAAGTGAGCCTAAACCTGTCTTCTGTGTTTTGATATGTAATGTTGATTGTTTTTGGGAACTATTTTGCTTTACAACACCCTGCATGCACCTCTCTTTCATGACTGGACTAAAAAAAAAAAATGATATAGGCCAACACCTTTCTTCAAAACAATATCTCAGGCATCAGGCAGCGTATTCATAACCATTTTAATTCCTGCAATATCCTTTCCATTTCTTTGGAACAGAGCATAAAATTCCCCTTTAAATAGGTAAAATAATTTTTTAGCACAACACATTGTGGATAAACATCAAACCGAGGTGCTCATATGCACTCTACTCAACCATCTAATGGAAAATCTCCATTTACATGCACACTACAAGTAATCCAATCCAAAATTTTACGCATACGTAGAGAACCACTCAGTGTAGACATTACCATGACACAAGCAGCGCTTGTGTTTTTAATCACTTTAAAATGATGTCTCAGGAAAACGTTCTTCACATGTACTCATTAAAGAAGGCCGAGAGGAAGACGTCGTGTTCTGAGACACATAAGCTGGACGTCCGTCCCATCGCCATCTTTTAAAGAGCAGAGCGTAAACTTCATCTCCTCTGCAGACCAGTTTCTGCTCCGCCATGTTGAACATATAAACTTTCACTATGACGCAACGCACATGCGCAGAACATACTTAAACTTTACCATTGGGAATGTAATTGGATACAGGCATTTACATGGCTATTATTCTTTTATTTAACAGATTATTTACAGGATTACCCACCTCATCAGACTAGTCTATTCCTATTGAGGTGTATACATGAAGGTATTCTATTCCGAATTATCTATTAGTCAGATTATTAACAGATTATTAGGCTGCATGTAAACATGGCTACTGAGAACAAAGTTCGCTTGACCAGAAACACAAGCATGTTTATTTTTTCTCAGGCTCCTGGTGTTACTATTTTACCACTATGCTGAAGACACACTCAGTGATGGCTGAAAAATGCAATCAGATGATTACATATTTCACACCGTCTCAAAAGCCTAGGTTTCTGTTCATGTTTTTTAAGGATGTAAACTTTTTTTAAGACTGCTTTTACTGTTAAGAGTGGACTGTCCATCCCTGAGGTGTAGCGCTGAGACCAGAGGTCCAAGCCTCGCTTCCATTACTGACTCTCACAGCATTTTGGGTGTCTAGTGAAAATGGCCTTCTCTGGTGCTCGGGGACTAACACAGGGCCATTTTAAAAGGTGCTGTTGAGCACACGGCTGGTCAGGAGGCTCTACACTCTACACAGTCTTATTCTTTGGAACACTGCCTGTCCGTGTCTGTTCTTGTTTATTTCAGGACAAAAATGTTCTGAAAGAATGTACGGCTGTTAAGAAGAAAACAAAGAAGAGAAAACAAAGAAGCTGCTGGTGTCCTCATAACAATGAACTGACCACTCCATCACTAAAAAAGAGTTTCATTTCAACAATTTAGGACATAAGCATACGAGTTTTTGAAAAAACAGTTCATGTATAATCGAAAATGCATTTCTGTTTCTCTAATAAAGTGATATTGGTCATAATATAGCACTGACACTGCTTTTATGTGTAAGCCCACTTTAAACATTGTATACCATAAACAAAACAGAAAATTCTTGAAAGTGGCCTGTAATGTATTTTGGAAGAAAACTCGAATATATGAATATACAAATATGTATGTATATCTATAACAAAGGTGTCAAACTCAGCCATGAAGAGGGCCGTATTAAAAAATCTCAACAAATCCACGGGCCAGAGATCAACTATGTTTTATTTCATTTTTAATTAACATTTTGCTATAAACCGAACTGACCATGGTTTATTCAAAATACACAAAGGGCACTTGTAGTAGGCCTTGAAATATTACATGAATACTTGAAATATTCCAAATTTAAATGTCCCCAGGAGCTCAGTCTTTTACACCTACCTATTTGCTTGAACTAGACACCTGGCGTCTTTTCTTTGCTGCAAGTTCATTAATTCTTGGGCTTAATTTCTGAGCTGCTGAGCTGACGTTAAGTGTTTATACTGGCTGACCTGCAGCTAATGTGTTTGGTGATACGACTGGTGTGGAACTGTGTAGAATTGTGTAGCTGCTGTCCCATAGATTGTTGTTGGGGTAGGAGAGTCACTACATTACATTGCAGTGCATGCTGGGGACTGTAGTGCAGCGCGTTGTGTAACGGGCTAATATTAATAGAAAATTAAAATACTTTGGTGGGCCAGAGAGGACAAATGGGATCTGTAATAACCTGTGTGTGTGTGTTTTTACTTCAGTTTACACTTCAGTTGTTACTCTTCATAACTATGTATGTGCCGGGTAGGAGGTGCCAGCATTTCTCACATTGTTTGGCCTGCCTGAGAACAACGCCCTTGACTTTCCTCCCTGCACACACGCACACACACATGAATGCACTGCTGTGAAACGCGTGTGTGTGTCTAGCCTCCGGGACATGCTAACCACGCTCTCCAGCAGAGAGTGGGAACAAGGTGTTGGAGCGTTTTAATGGAAAAGCAGCGTTTCTCCTGGTGACTCCGTGTGGCCGTGTATGTGAGACAGGCAGGAGCACTGAGCGTCGC